TAATGCAAGGAAAACCAAGATTCAAAAGACAGCCAAGCATCTTAATATTATTCCCCCCTTTTCCACATTCCAACCATGGCTCGATCTCTGTATTCCAGAACCCTGTTGTTCTCAAGGGTGTGAGTTTTTTATTATGTTAAATATTGGGTGAAAAATTCTTCTTTTAAATGGGAGATCATCAAGGTATGGGAAAGTATCTTGATCTCTTTAAATATGAAAGAGGAAAAGAGAGAGAACTGAATTATTCTACAAAAAATGAGAAACTATCACATAATTCACAATAAAACATTAAAAAAGAAACAACACACATAAAACAGGTAAAAAACAAAAACGGGGGAGTAGTTAATCTTACAGTCCAGAAACAGAGGATCCTAGGACCATCCAGGGAGAAGAACATGAGAGGAATGCAGGACCCTATCCAGAGAAGCAGCGACACCAGAGATGCAGGCAGAGATGGAGACGTGGAGACAGGGCTCAGCTGAGGACTCTGGACTCAGGGAAAGAGAGGGACTGGCTTCCAGAATGTGCCCTTCGGTGGTTTAAATTATTATATATTCCTGAGTGTTTGTGTATATATCCTCCCACTCCCCCCACACACACAGCCAAAAAAAGAGGGAATGGAAGCATATACTGTTGATTGATGATACACAGAGATTATAACCACTGCAATGAAACGATGGTGTAAAGCCAATGTTCTCCCATGTAAATTATTACTCAGTTCACAATAAAAACTTTAAAAAAAAAAAAAAATTGAGAAAATACAAACTTCAGATGGGATATATAGAGAAGAACCAAGACACCCAAGGTAGTACATTAATGCTCAACCCTAATGCTAAATCTTGAGTAAATTCTACTACAAAAAAAAAAACACTTTTGTGAGAAGAAATTTGAGTTTTAAAAAAGCCAAGGGCTGTGTATTATCTTGGAGCAGAAGCAAGATGGAAAAAAGGGAGGAAAGATAAAAAGTGATAAATATTTTTTTTTTACTTCAGCTGTAAATTGTAAGAATTCTCAGAGATATGAAAAGAACATTAAGTCCTTTGCTATACTTGGGATAAAACCTCAAGCGATTGTTTTAGTCAATGAAAAGGACTCATAAGGCTGAAGATCATATGGCAACTCATTCAACTACCATCAGCATGACACGTGATTAGAGAGATAGAAGGAAGAATGGATTGATAGGTGGATTGGTTTACTGATGGTCAAATAGTTCATTTTACTTATACGCTTTTTGTCCCAAGTGTTTGAGAGTGAGACAAGAAGTAGATTTCCATCATGACAAAATTATATAGGAAAGCAATGTCCTTGGTCTTCCTCATAGAGGTGCTCAGACAAGAAGCAGTTTAATTGCAAATCAGTAGTGATTAAGTTTCTATGCTTTCATGCATTTCAAATGGAAGAAATGGAAGCCGCTGTGTTTTTATTCTCACACCTTGATTGTCAACTTTCTCCCCAATCCTAGTCAGCAGGTTCATGGGTCATTATTTTTATTGCAATTGTTCCTCAAGGATCTTGTTCACCAGTATGAAGTGCCCAACAGAACTCCACAACATAAGTATGTCCTATTCTACAAAGCCTATCCTTTGAGTCTGGCCATTCCAAACATACTTTCAAAGTTTGGTGAAAATCTATCATGTTATTTTTTCATGTGGTCCCATAAGAAACAAACAAAATGACATTTTATTTTACTTACATAGCTGTTGAAATTTTAGCACAATCTAAATGTACAACAATAGGGAAATGGATAAATTACAATACCTTCAAATGATGCTTTATAGTGAAACCATTTAAAAAGAAGTATACAAATTATTTTAAGTGACATAGAAGAGTCCATTATAGAATGTGAATAAAGAAAATAAAGATACAAATTTGTATCAGAAAAATACACAGATTCACATTTGTTTATGTAATACAAAGAGTTATTAGTTGTGATTGTTTTTTCTGGGTGATAAGATTACAAGTGACTTCCATTTTCTTTATACCATTCTTCTTCATGATGCTTTACTGTTAGATATTGATTGCTTTACTATTCAAACAAAAGCACTAAATCATCAAAAGATCTAGGCATAACAACAGAAGCAACAGGAACTACAAGAGCAGAAAACAGCAGGAGTGGCCACCCTGAGTTTTACCTCTTGGACTCACATCACCTAACCTGATTATAAAAACTGGACTTGTTGTTGTTGTTGTTAAGTGCCCTTGAGT